TCCTTTGGGACCAGCGGCAATGTTGAGTACAGGGTGAAGTCCGTTCTGGAAAACCACGAGTGTCAATCGGGAACGAATTGTATGTTTTGCATACCTCCATCATTCCATAAAACATTTGCGAGAGCTGAATGACAATTTGCTCGTAGAAGATCGAGGCAGGTTGTGATCTTCCATGGCACCAATCGCATTTGGTGCTGTCCATCGAGTGGTGGCACGGTCCATGGAAACCGGGGGTGTCTTCTTCCGAGAAAAGCTCGCACACTGGCTTGTGCCATATTCCACGAAAAATCTCCTTGGCACTAGACACTGAGATGGTCATATTGAAGGCGACCCGTTTTGAGGATTTTTCTAGCGCTGCCACGACCTGGCAAACGTAAATCACACGAGTCATGAGAGATTCGTCGTAAGGAAAATGCGCAAAACCAACCTCTCCAAACGTTTGAGAGCGTCCACATCTGCAAGTGTTCGTGATTGCCTCGCACATCCTCCTGCATGGAAAACCAAGCCCAGCGGCCTTGAAAACTCTAGGAACCGATGCTTGAAGTGCTGCAAGAGCGGACGAATCTTTGGCTGCGACAGAAGCTACAAAAGGCTGCGAAACAATCAGAAAAACTATCGTAACAAAGGTGTAAAAAACTTACAAGAAGTTCATCCACAACATGATCGAAAGTTCCGCAAGATGGAAGCGCCAGACCACACCAAAATTCCTGTAAAGCTGTGGCACACTCCGAGCAGCTGGAATAGCCTAGACAATCACAACATTACATTCAAACACTCCACCAAAAAAGAATTATCCTACCTTCTTTGTCGATTCCTTCGAGAGGATTTCTAGAAACCGCCCCAAAGGCCTCATACCTGAAAGCACAATCCGTCACACTGCTGGATTCCAAGTCACAAATGCGAGCAAATGGAGTGCCAGCGGTGTCCACTTGCACACACGAATCCCTGCCGCCAAAGGCATTGCATCGCCCTCCATCCGCAAGCGCCTGGCCAATTTCTTGCAGAAGAACACGCTGCGACGCCACCGCAAGCCCTGCCGCCGATTCCAGCGCCTTGCCGAGCTCCGCAATGTCTGTAACACCAATCAATCGATGAAGGAGGGAGAGAGAGGAGGAAGAAAACCTAGCGATCGTAGAGGCCGGGCAAGCGCCATTAGTAACAAAATCCATAGCAGAGCCTTCATTGTAACCTAAAGGGGCGATCACACCCTTCTTTTTCCGAGATTATTCTATTTAAAACCTAGTATATTCGATAGTCCTCTGGTTTTAGGGTTTACGCGTGGCCCGTTTGACGTCACTGGCAAGAACAAGTCATCCGCGAGCGATGAAACATTCTCGCGAGGAATGCAGGCCGGCCAATGGCGCTGGCGCTGCGGATCACGATCCTCCTCATCGGCGGTCTCGTCCTGGCGCACGATGCGAGTAAGCTCTCTCCTCTCTCCAGGCATTTCTTCTCAAGATCGTCTTTTCCAAGGGTATATCAACATCGATTGCGGCGGCGCGATCGGTTTCACTGATTCTCGAGGCCAGGCGTGGGTGCGCGATGCCGGATTCACCTCCACTGGTGCCGTCGCGAGAGTTTCCATTGCGAATTCTTCTCAGGAGCTGGGATCGCTGCGATATTTCCCGGATGGATACGATGAGAAGAGTTGCTACGAGGTTCCAGTGGTGCTGGGCAACAAGTATCTCGTCCGAGCAACGTTCTTCTATGGAGACTACGATGGAAAGAGAAAGCCGCCAAGCTTTGACCTCTATCTCCAGGCGAGCCACTGGACTGCCTTGACAACGAGTTTGGACAAGGCAACGAGCAGCGAAATTCTCGCGGTTGCGACGAGCAACAGCTTGAGCGTGTGCCTTGCTGCTAGTGCCGCTGGGAACGTTCCATTCATTTCCTCCTTGGAACTGAGGCACCTGGAAGCAACCATGTACGAGGCACTGTCTCTGGATCGTGCTCTTCTCCTGTTTCAAAGGCTGGACATTGGATCTTTGTCCCCGACGAGTATCAGGTATGGTTTTCTTCCCTTTGTCTTGATTTGCATGTTGGTGATGCTTGAACTTTCTGTAGACTTCCTGATGATACGTATGATCGCATTTGGACGTCCGACTTTGGTGACGAAGATTATCCCAGGCTAGTCACTCAAAATCCGGTAGCTCTTGGATCGTCGCCAGAACAGGCTCCTCTTGCAGTTATGCAAACTGCTAGAACGAAGCCTGTCAACAGTTCGTCCGACTTTTCATACTTCCTTCCATTTCCTGAGATATCTTCGGGGCGGAAATACTGCATCATACTTTACTTTGCGGAGGTGACAAGTATGAATTCTGGAGATTTAAGAGAGTTTGACATCATTTTAAGCGGCACCTCGCTGAACAACACTCCAGTCTTTCAGTCAGTAAATGTGGCAAATCAAGCGGGAGGAGCTTACATTGCACTCGAGCTCCATGACTACAATCGAACATTTTACGGGCCCGTGAGAGTGAAACTTATTCCAACCCAACGATCGACACTGCTGCCGTTTCTCAGCGCTCTCGAGGTGTACACAGTTTTGGATGGTTTAAGCGTCGGGACTTTTGCATCAGACGGTACTGTAAATTCTCTTGGCTCATTGCTTGATTTGTTTTCCTTGTAGCGGCGGCATTGTCAAATGTGAAAGAGACATTTAATCTCGAAGGGGCCGGAGATCCATGTTTACCATCGCGGTACAAATGGGATTGGATCAACTGCGACAATGGAAGTCCTCCAAGAATCAATGCACTGTAAGTTTCCTTATTTTGTTTGCTTTGATCTCTAAAATTCTTGTCATGGAGGACTTTGTCAAATATGAAACTCCAAGGAACTATACCGAACGGACTTTCACGTCTCACTGAGCTCAATATCATGTAAGCGTGGATCTTTTGCGCTCTCTTACATAGATTTATTGCAGACGACTCGATGGAAATCATTTAACCGGTGGTTTGCCTGATTTAAGCGCACTTAAGAACTTGACTCTTTTGTAAGTTTGGATATTCTGTAAGCACTGTTCCGTAATGTTTGACACACAGGGACCTTCACAGTAATAGCTTAAGCGGACTGATTCCAGCAAGCATCACTAGCCTTCCTAATCTTCAAATGCTGTGAGTATGTTAAGCATTTTCTGGCATGGATTAACTGGATGGAGACCGTTTGCAGGTACTTACAGGACAACAACTTCAGTGGCCCCAAACCATCCGTGGCCAACACGAATATGTTCATGAAGTAAGCTGCTGATGTGCTTCGCACTATTTTCTGACTGAAATCCTTTAATTTGCAGCACTTCTGGTAATCCTTGTCTCTTAGAAGACTCTCCATGCTTCAATGCCGCAACGACTGGTGTCTCCAGACACAAGCACCGTTTACGAAGTCTTTGGATATCTCTTGCCGTCGGCTTGCCTGTCCTTTCTGCAATCACAGTCTTAATTTGTTTCTTGAGAAGATTCATTGCCGCTGAAAAACGTTTTGGTAAGAATGTCAAGAATTTTTATTTTCTTCACGTAATCTCTTTACTTTTAGATCCTGTCGAAACTCCGCGGCACCCTTGTTCCATTTTTCGGCTCGACGAGCTTATTCTAGCTACGCAAAACTTTTCGAAAGAATTGGGAAGAGGGGGATTCGCCAAGGTATACTACGGTGTTCTTTCTGATGGACGAGAAATAGCTGCCAAGGTGTATTTTGAAGAGAATGAGCGACTAAGAAAAAGACGTGACGCTTTCTTAAACGAGGTGAGTTTCCAAAGCTTGTCTGCTGTCATAACACAAGATGATACAGGTGGAGATACTTTCACGGGTGCATCACAAGAACCTGGTTTCTCTTATTGGCTACTGTGTTGAATCTCTGAGCCTTATCGTCGTCTTTGAGTACATGTCAGGAGGAACTGTACAAGGAAAACTCCATGCTGGAACTCAGGCATGTTTAACGTGGGAGACAAGACTTACGATTGCTTTGGATGCCGCTCAAGGTATATTAATTCAACTTTTTGTTTCTTTTCTCTGTAAGCTGAATTTCGCTTTGCTGCAGGAGTTGAATATTTGCATACTTGCTGCATACCTCAGGTCATGCACAGAGATTTGAAGAGTAGCAATATTCTGCTGAGCGACAAAATGATGGCTAAAGTCGGAGATTTTGGTATTTCCAAGTTCCTCTCTCCCGACGATGATATATCGAATTCAGTCAAAGGAACACCTGGATATGTCGACCCAGAGTATGGTTCTTTCTCTCTTTGTCACTCGTGTTTATACTGCACTCACAGATACTTCGCCACGAATCGTTTCTCAGAAAAGTCCGACGTCTACAGTTTTGGGGTAGTGCTGCTCGAACTGATATGTGGTCGGGGGCCACTCGACTCGGAACTGCTGGACCAAGGATTGACTCTGATTGTTTGGGTAAAATCTTGTTTCCTTCTCATCGGTCCTGGTGAAGTAATATTTTCCTTGTTTTTCTCAGTTCAGGTCCCTCGTCCAGAGCGGAAAAACAAGAGAAGTGGTCGACCTGAGGCTGGAGAACACGTACAACTTGGAATCCATGCAAAGAGTGGTAGATACTGCGAACTCGTGCATCGAGAGCGATCCTTCCAACAGGCCCGACATGAGCATCATCGTTGGAGAGCTTAAAGAAGCACTCTGGCTCCAGCGTCAGCAGCTTTCTCCCACAGATAAGATGATAGTTCCGCTTTTACTTCTTCACAGATCCATGCGACAAGAACGCTGCTCTAGAATTGAAATGGTCTCGGCCTCTTCGTACTAGGTGAGGTTTCTACTTTCAACTGCAGATTTAAAACGTGATCTTTGTACTTGTGGCAACTTGTCCAGGCTGCTCTCATGGGAAAAGTAAAAAGAAAACTCTCATGAGGTCTCGAGCCTAACACCGAGGAGAAGAAAGCATTGCCCTGTAAGCTAGTTTCTTAGTACTTCTCTTTGTCCAAAGGATTACTCCTAGTTCGATTGTCACTGAGTTTGTGTCTGATAAAACTGTATTGACTTCAAAGAAACTTAACTTCAAGGACCTTCGTGCCTTTCTTGCTCGAACTATTACAATGGAAAGAAGAGAACTTTCAGCCACTGTAAACAATAATCCTATAGGGCTGAGAAAGATCTGAGCTAACAGACGAAGTTGAGAGGTCAAAAGAAATGCTACGTACTGTTTGTTTGCTCTCAAAAGCCACAGTAAGTGATGTTGTCCATGGAGTGGAAATAGCAGCCGACTGCCTCTGGAGTACACATCTGGATCATCTCGCACGACCAGCAGCCCAAGCTGCCTCCTTTCTCGCAGGTGACATTGAAAAACGGCTCGCAGCTTGGCCGAGACGAATCACGGTGGCAAACTCCTGGCAACTTGAAAGTTAAAACCACGAAGAATTCTGGCTCCAAGGAGTACTACCATATTGCGTTCTGTAGAGCAGTTTCCGAGAGCTCTTGAAACGAGCCGAGAATCCCTGCTTGTTATTACATCAGCTCCAAGAGGAACAAACACGAATCTGTTTCGAGTACCTCTTTGTCCACAGGGAATGACGTTGGACTGGAAGACGAATCCAGTAATCCGTGCAGCTCCCTGTTTCCTACAGTTTCGGACAAGAAAACTCTCGAGGACTTTCAGCAGCGAGGGGCACTACAATTACCCGAAACAGAAGCTCCCAGCAGTAGAATTACTGAGACGATCATCAAACGTGTCATTCTGGCTCTTCGAGCAAAGAACAGAGCAAAGAGAAGAAGCACGTTGCTGGCGCTGGAACAACACAGAACTTTCAAGCACGGAGAAACTAAAAAACCAGTCGAGCGAGTGTCGTAATATGACGGCTCCAAACAACCATGTAATAAACGGCCTGGCCGAGAGCTTCCCACTTTCCTGCAAGCAAACTTTTTTGATAGTATATAAAATGTAATGCGGGCATATGATGAGAGCCGTGTCACCTGTGCCGATTAGACACCATCGCCAAGAGAGCTCGAATCGAAATATGGCCGTGCATTCGTCCTGTGACCACACCATTAAGTTAGCGTCAGGTGGTCTCGCGGACTCTCTCTCGCGTAAGCAAGAGCAGCGACCACGCATACCATTAAGAACTTATGCTCTAGGCTTTCGAAATGGGAGGATTGTAGGCTTCTTTAAGATCCCATCCAACGAGGTGTGAGCCAGACAAGTTGCTCCCGCTCCTGAGGCAACTTGGAGTTTCTCTGCTAATCATCAAGCGAAGATGTGAGTCGATTCAGTAGAACAGTAGTTCTAATCGAGAGCGTAAGTGAGCTTACTTGATTTCGGACGGACGTACTATCCATATCTGAAATCCTCATACTTTCATTGCAAAAGAGTTTTTTAAACATTTTGATTAATAACCGCAACACGCTCTTCCCAAATTCGAACAATATTTCAAGTCTATCCTCGAGTTCTTGTTCTTGTGGGTCACTTCTTCACGAGCTTGCGCCTTGCTGTTTCAAATCGTCCTCAAGACATTTAAAATTATAAGGGATAACACCATTTACCTTGTATCTCTTCGTAGATCCTTGTTAGCTGCACTTCGACAACAAGATGCCTGGAAAAGAGAGATTAGAATGAACATGAAACATTTACGAAACATAGTACCAAAAACCGGTGATGCAATCTATGTTGCAAAGCTTGTTTGGAGGAAAAGGATGACAAAAGCCGCTTGTGTCTGGTGGATGGAAATCCTAGCAAATAAAAAAATAAGACAAATATAAAACGAACTTGTTTGTGCTATGTCCACTACCCTTTTTTTCTGCCTTTTCTGCCTTTTTTCTCTTTGGATGTCCAGCTGAGCTTTTAATTTGGTGCTGCTTGAGGATAAGGTTGAAGATAAGATCCATCTGGTTTATGAATCCTCGAAGCTCTTGTCTTCATCCACTTCGCTCCCTGTTCGCCTAAGATCAAACCGTCAACATTTACAATCATGAAGTTCCCAAGAATTTCTTTCTACTGAGAAATCTGGGCTAGAGCTTTGGATTCAAGGAGATGAACAACAGTACAAGGATGATGGACGAGGATGACACTGGCTCATCTCCTTTTGTACCTTTAGGAGAAATTCAGCCAAATCCAAATCTTGCTTACACTTGGACGAGGTATCCAAATTCTAGCATTATAGTTTTTGTTTTTTTTTTCAACTTTGATTATTCAGGAAGATGAACGGGTGATGAACAAGATGACACTTCTGTCTTAGTGGAATTGTTCAACCAAGTAGAAGGAATTTAGTCGACTCCTCCTATAAGCCAATTGCTTGTCGATGGAGGAGGTTTGATCACACAAAGCTCTAGCTGCTGCTGGTAGCTATCTTGACGAGGGATCCTGCTCTGCCCGCCCTGATGCCCAGGCTCCCATACTCCCAAGTGCTCAGCCAGCCCAGGTGTCTGGGTTCGGGTGCGTGAATGAATAAAAAAATTGTAGCAAAGATTCTACCAAAAATTCTAGCAAAAATTTCGTTATGTGAAAGCCAAATGTATGGCTATGATGTTGTATAATAATATTAGTGTAGTGGGATTTTGGTAGCTGTTAGATTAGTTTCAATCCAGACCTCTCGCTCATGTATATAAATTAGGGTTTTTAAGCTAATTAATATGCACATTTTCTCTATATTCCAAACATTCACATTAGTGGAAGTGAAGGGCATTTTTGATTGTCCTTGAAGAGTGTTTGAATTTGGGATTTTGGTTTAAATTTAGCTTTTGGATCATTTAGATTTAGTTTTTTCCATTTCCTTTCTTTTGTTCTTCCCTTTCAGAATTTTGGTTTAGATTTAGTTTTTTGCATTGTCTAAATCTACCATTTCCTTCTAGCTTTTTGTCATTTCTCTTCTTTTGCTTTTTTTTTTTGTTCATCTTCATGGTAGATTAGCAATCTCCTCTTTTGACTCTGGAGCAGTAGTTGGTCCAATTGCTTGATGCTATGCACTTGCAATTGAACAACCAAACTCAATTGATAGTGGCATTCACAGCACGTGGTACAACTCCTCCTCTTGGTGCCAATTTTTGCGTTTGGCCAGAGTTCTTTCGCGGAAATCTTGGGGATGATGTGTACCATTGGTTCAATCACTTCACGGTGATTGCCACATATCATTCTTGGGATGATGCTCGACGTTTATATGAGTTTCCCACGTGTTTCCAAAAAACGGCATTGCAATGGTACAATGGTTTAAGCGCAACCACTCGTGGGGATTGGAGTGTTCTCCCAGACATCTTCAAACGCGCCTTCGGCCATGCTGACGACTGTGATGATGCCTTCCAACAATTGCATCGTCTTCACCAAGGGCCATCTGAGTTAGTGATGCAATTTGGTGTTTATTTCCGAAGTTTTTTGCTTCGTGCGAAGCCTAAAATGTCGGCGTGGATCAAGCTAGGAATGTTGTGGCTAGCACTTCGTCAAGATCTTCCCTTGACGATGCTTTTCACTTGGCACAACGTTATGAGACATCACCTCTTCCACTTCTTGCTACATGTCTTTTAGCTCCACTTCCTATGAGTGATGGTCTTGTTCCAATGGAGGTTGATGCTGCTGCTGCTCGAGTCCAAGGACAAGGGCGAGGACATGGTCGTGGCCGTGATGTTTGCTGCTGGGCGTGTGATGAAGTTGGTCATATTTATCAGTGTTGTCGGCGTTTTCTGGACTAGCAACCTCCATTTCCTGGGTGGAGACCTTGGTGTTAGTAATGTCCTATTGGTGCTGCTGCAGTAGAAGGTTTGGACACCGAGATGCATATGGGAAATAAGGAGTCGCACGAGTAACGGAGGGACCTTGTGTGAATAAGTCAGTGACCCATCTATTTTTCTTTTGGGAGTATCATCAAGGGGTTCACTCAGCACCGGTTCATCTAGTGTTTACTTTCCAAACTCGTTTTTATAACAAGAGGTCTCCTATTATTCTCTCCATATTAGTTGATACAGGTTTGAGTTTATCTTCTATTGCTCGACCTGTTGCCACACGTTGTCATTTACACTTGCGTCATGTGGCAAAACCAGTTTTCATTCTTTATGGTAACGGCCGTACACATGCATGTGCACGGGATGAGGCAAACCTAGTTGTGCATGTGGGCAATCTTAAACTTGAGTTGCAGTTGTTGCAGGTGGTGCCGAGTCAAGCTTTTGACCTCATTCTTGGTATGGATTGGTTGCAGCATAATCATGCCAAGTGTGACTTTGAGGCTTCTCCCCTTTGTTTCATACTTTCTTATGTTTCATCCATTCCTCTCACTTTTGTACCTCTTTGTCCCTCTACTTCTACCTTTGCTTCCATTACTTTTTTCCCCCACTATTTCCTCCTATGTTTTTATCTTGTTTTGCTCTTCCCTTTTTCAATCCCTCCGACGATCTTTATGTTGCAGCGGTGGACTAGCTCATGAAGGAGTATTTTGATCTCTTTGAATTTGACCTATTATTTGGGGCTAAGATTGCCACACGTCATCCAATTCCAACCGGGGATGCTCATCCAATCAAGGTTCCCATTCATCATTGGTCATCCAAAGAGATCAAGATTTTACGTGCAAATGTCAAGGAGATGTTAGAGAAGGGTGTTATTCAGAAGTCGCAGAGTCCTTGGGCATGTGAACTTCATCTTGTGACAAAGCCTAATGGGAGTATTCATTTCTGCATCGACTATTGTCCGTTAAACGAAATGACGATCCTAGATGTGTACCCTCTTCCTCACACTGCTGATCTCTTGGATTGTTTGAGGCGAAGTCGTTAGTTCACCAAGCTAGATCTTGTTTCTGGGTACTGGCAAATACCGATGGCCGAAGAAGATATTCCTAAGACTACTTTTCGTACACCATTTGGTTTGTATGAGTTTTTGGTGATGCCGTTTGGTTTGAACAATGCTCCAACAACTTTCCAGCGGATGATGGACGAGGTTCTTTGCGATATGCCAAAGGTGACTACTGACTTCATTGATGATGTCTTGATCCACTCAGAAGGGACGTGGGAGGAGCACATTCATGATGTTTGTAAAGTGTTGAATCGATTACGCAACGTTGGTTTAAAACTGAAGCGGTCGAAGTGCGTGTTTGGGTCCAAGGATACAACTTATCTTAGGTACCATATTTCTCATGAGGGTTTGCAAGTTGATCATGACAAATTTGTGGCTATTCTAAAGTTCCCTACTCCAAAGTGTGTGAATGATGTGCAACGCTTATTGGGCAAAGTGTAGTATCTCAGTTGTTTTGTGGATCATCTTTCTGATCGCACTGCACCATTGTGTGCATTGCTAAAATCATCAACATCATCTTTCATCTAGTCTCCGGATTGTAAGCAGGCATTCGGGGATCTCAAAGAGCTATTGACGACTCCTCCGGTTTTGGCATATCCTAACTATACTCGACCTTTTATTTTGCGGGTGGATGCTTCTGATATTGGTCTTGGAGGTGTGTTGATGCAAGAGAGCTCGAGTGTGCTTGATCAATGCCATCCCATTGCGTATATAAGCCATACATTACAACCAGTGGAAATGAACTACTCCACGACAAAGAAAGAGTGTTTAGCAGCAGTTTGGGGTTTCGAGAAACTTCATGCATATTTATATAGTTCTCGGATGTTACTTGAAAGTGATCATGTTGCTGTTACTTCATTATTGAAGCAGAAGAACTTGGTTGGTCGTACTGCTTGATGGGCTTTGAAGCTTCAGATATATGATTTTGATGTTGTTCATTGCCCAGGGAGTTCTATGGCTGATGCTGATGCCCTTTCTCAAGCTCCTCTTCCTTCTCCATTCTCTTCTCATGTTTCTGACAAGCCTGTTGTTCTAGCCTCTGTGGATTTTCTAGATAAGGATTCTGTGCCGTTGGCGGTTGCTGTACTTGACATTCAATGTCCACAAGGCAAGAGAACTTGAGTGTGCTTGGTCAACGCCATCCCATTGCGTATATAAGCTATACATTACAACTAGCGGAAATGAACTACTCCACGACAAAGAAGGAGTGTTTAGCAGCAGTTTACTGCTTGATGGGCTTTGAAGCTTCAGATATATGATTTTGATGTTGTTCATTGCCCAGGGAGTTCTATGGCTGATGCTGATGCCCTTTCTCAAGCTCCTCTTCCTTCTCCATTCTCTTCTCATTTTTCTAATGAGCTTGTTGTTCCAGCCTTTGTGGATTTTCTAGACGAGGATTCTGTGCCGTTGGCGGTTGCTATACTTGACGTTTAGTGTCCACAAAGCGCAGAGCAAGATCTACCTTCTCTTGATGAGGTTTGCGAGGCTCAAAAGATTGAGCCGTGGATTCGAAGGCTTTGAGATGGGTTCAAGAATCCTACATCACTTGTTGATGACTTGCCTTTCCGGCATTTACATTCTCAATATCGCTTTAAAGATGGCCTTCTTTATTTTGTGGGGACGGATCCTAATGATCATTTATGGCTGGTGGTGCCTTCTATCTTTATTCTGCGGTTTCTTCATGCCTACCATGATTCTCTTGTTCTAGGTGGGCATATGGGACATCGTCGTGTAACTGAAAAACTACACAAATCTTTCTATTGGCCAAAGATGTGACGTGATATTATTTAGTATGTGTGTAGTTGTGTTTGGTGCCAAACTCGTAATACTCCCCCTTAGGCTGCAAAAGGACGGTTAAAGTTAATTGCAGTTTCTCATCCATTTGAGTTGGTGGCGTTTGATTTTATAGGACCTTTTCCACGGTCAACTGCTAGCAATGAGTATATTATTATTGCTTCTGACTACTTGACTCGTTGGGTGGAAGTTAGTGTTCTTGCTAGCACCTTTGCAACTACTATTGGATACTTTCTCCTCAATCGAGTGGTGTTCTAACATTCTTATCCAGAGCAGATTCTTTCAGATAATGGTCCCGCATTTATGGCTGAGGCATTTTATGTTTTGACATCTCAATTGGGGATAATGGTCCCGTATTTATGGTTGAGGCATTTCATGTTTTGACATCTCGATTGGGGATATGCCACACTTTCATGAGTGTTTATCATCCACAATCAGACAGTCTAGTGGAACGGCTCGTTTAGACATTCAAGGGGATGATTGCAAAGTATGTGAACTTTCAGCATTTGAATTGGGATGGTTATTTGCCGTTTCTTCGGTATGCATATGTCACAGGGGTGCAGAGTTCTATTGGTGCTTCACCATATAAACTCCTATATGGTCATGATCCAATATTACCAACGGAGCTGGGTTTACCTTTGCAATTGCCACAAGTTGCCCATGCTAGATCATAGAATCAGTATTTGACGAGCATTCTTCCACTTGTCCGAGTCGAGTCTGCTGAACACTTAGGCCATGTACAAGTGGGACAACAACAGCAGTACAACGCTCACCATCGTCCACCTGCGGAGTACAAAGTGGATGATTTGGTGTTAATCCGTTTTCCCCATCTTATGGTACGTGGCTTATCTAAGGGGCTCCTTGTGCAGTGGAAAGGACCATATTGAGTGTTGTGGTAAGTTGGACCACAAATTTATGAGGTTCAGCATGATGTCTAGCAAGCCGATCCTCTAGAGATTATGTATATGCAGTAGTTGAAACGCTTTATAGAAAGGGATCAGGAGCAGTTAATACCACCTATAGATCCGCCGATGCCTCCTCTTGACATTCCTCCAGATCCCGGCCTGTCTACAAGATAACTTTGATGGTTTTCCATTATTCCGAGAGGAGGGGATGATGTGAGAGCTAAGTGTATGGCTACGATCCCGTATATTAATATTAGCGTAGTGGGATTTTGGTAATCGTCGGATTGGTTTCAATCTAGACCACTCGCTTCTGTATATAAACTAGGGTTTTTGGGCTAATTAATATGCACATTTTCTGTATTCCCTAAGCACTCACAGTTATAGAATTCTTAATTGAATTAGAATTCTAAAGTCAAAGTTTTGATAAACTTAATAGAATAATTCCTTTGAATTAAGGTTTGTGCTATTAGCATCCCAGAACTGTTATGGTGGCCCAAGTCCTCTTCTAGGAACAACTTGATTACATGCAACTATTGATCAAACACACTCAAGAGGAGGAAAAGTGAGAAAAGGAAAGGAGACAGCTTTGAGATTTGGTATGAGTTTTGAGCACACTGATAATTTGTTGCTTATGCATTAATGCTTGGTTTGCTTTGGAAAAAGAGAAGAATAATATCTTAAATTATTTTTTTGTTAATATTACTTCTTTTTATTTATTATACATAATAACAATACATATAACATTCTTTTATGTATTTCTAAGAGTTATTCAGATTCAAAACCGTATAGGTGTATTATAAAATTTTGTGAATTTATTCACTAAAGTGCTTGTAATGACCACCCCTTGTTGGGCTTGTGACTCTGTGGTGATACTGCCATCTTCCACCATGCTCGTTGCTCCAGTAAAGTTGATAGTCGCTTTTGTCTGGAAGCCCCAAGAATTCATGGAAGCAGGAGGTGATGTAGGCCACATTAACCCAAGAACTAAGGTTCTTAGCGTGAGCCGACATCTAGAAAAGCCAAGAGGTTTGCCACTTCGCCGAAGTGATGAGATTTCTTTAAACGGTGAAGCTCGTTTCGATCTAGAGGTTGTTCTTTCACGATTGATCTTTGGTGGCAACTTCTGCAGGAGTGAAACCAAGAATCCAAACCAGAGGTTTTCCTAAGGGTTAAGGTAATGGGGGTACGCGTTGTGGCTGCTGGCGACGGGAGGGAGCTGTACGTGTTCACCCACAGTCACGGTATGCGAGGGAAGGATCTCCTTGATGAGCTGAAAGAGCTGGGCTTGTCGGGTCATGTGCAAATCAATGGCGAGCGGATGACACGCTCGTTTCCTCTGTGCGATGGAGCCGTCTGCGTTTTCGTGGAGGTATGCGAGTGTGTTTCTAGGAACAAGAAGAGCCCACATTTGCATGTCTTGCTTGCAGGAGAGGCTGCAAGACAGCACCTGGTTCCTCAGGCACAACACACTGCCTTCTTCCGCCTCGACTCTGTCCAACTCCAACCCTCTCATGAAGACCCATCTTGGCACAGATGATCCGATCTACGACCTGAGCAGGACGTCCGCGAGCGCAGCGCCGCTGGTTCTGGCAGCGCCGCCGTTTGCCGACTACGTCCAGGGGCTCAAGTCTCATGTGTTGGATGCGCTTGATTGGAACTTCGTGGGGCGCACGGTGCAGGAAATGAGCCCGTTTCTCGACACCGGGGACATGCGAAAGCTCTCCTTCTATCGCATTCTCCAGGGCTACTTACTGGCCAAGTTCCCGGCAACTGTCGTTCAGGTTACACCGTCAACCCCAGGACCGAATGCGGACATTAAGATCGAGGTCCTGATCAGAGGCGCGTGGATCCTCGTCTGCCTCGTGGAAGTGAAGCCCGAAGTCGGCCTGAATGGCGAGCCATGCGTGCAAGTGATGAACGCCTATGCAAAGGTGACGATCCAGAGCCGGTCACGTTACGAGTGGCAGTTCTTCTGTTCCTGCTTCCCGGTGCTGATTGTAGAGCTCGCGGGGCCGAACATTCGGGTGGGCGGTGCCTGCCATTTCGACAAGCCGGCACACGAGCCCTTTACGCCCTTCCTCCACATGCTCAAGTTCCTGCGCGATGACCGTCACTTGGGCATCTTGTCCAAGGCCCTGGCTTCCATCTCGCTGGCCATTGGCTCCATGGTGCGATTCTACGATCGAGTTGGTACTGCTGCTGCAGCCCAGGGAGCCGCCGCCAGGACCAGGGACGTTTCTGTCAACTGGCCGCATCATGTTGCGTTGCAGAAGAGCTCTGGTGCTACTGTCGTCCAGTTGGAACGCAGGTTCTCGGCCAGCCAGCTCGCGCTGATGCAAGTTGGCAGGGCACAGCAGCTGGTGTTTCACATCAAGCGGCCGGGTGGCGCGCAACGCGTTGTCAAGTTCTGCCAGAGGTATGGCAAGGAAGTGCACCGGCTGTGGCACGAGGCCGGATATGCGCCCGGCTTCCAGCACCAGCTTCTACAAGACGGGGACTGGGTGGTGATAGATATGGAGTGCTTGGCCGAAGGTGATGGCTGGCGGCCGCTGCATGCACTTGATCCGCGGCTGGCTGTGATTGGAGATGCGGATGCAAACATGTATCGCCTCAATGCTTCTGAGTGGGATACATGCAAGCGTGCGGTCCGGCTGGCTCTGCGCAATGTCCAGCAGATGCATTCGACCACAGTGCACGGTGACATGAGGCGGCAGAACATCTTGTGGAACGTGGATGGCAGGGTGGCTTTCGTGGACTTCGACTGGGCCGGCATCAGCGGACGAGACTGCTATCCGCTGTTTATCAATCCCGTGAATGTGTGGCCCCCTGGAGTCACTGGTGCTGCTGTGATGTTGAGCCAACATGATGTCCAGCTGCTTGACTTGGAGCTTGGGCCATGAATCCGGCTCTTCAAAAGAAGGTCCCCTTTGATACGCTTCCTCGTCAGACTTGCTCGCAAACCAAACGTTCACGTTTGCTGCTCCATCATCTTCTGCTTCATCACTCCTCGGTCCTACTCCATCATCCTCTACCTCATCAAGCCCCCTGTTCTTCTCGCTCCTCCTGTTCCTGTTGTTGTTCTTCTCCTTGCTCTAATCCCTGCCCTTGCTGTTGCTCATCTTCCAGACCTTCGGGCTCTAATGGCTGTTCTCCTTGATCATAAAACCAAGAAAAACAAAAGGAACTAAGAAGAAGCTGTGCAATGTCTTACATGTTGATCTTCTTGCTGCTCGAATCCTATGAAGGTGTTGTCTATACTTCCATAGGGGAGATCGATGCATCGTGTGCTGGTGGAAGCTTAGCCAAGAACCGGTGTGTTTGCGGGGAGATACCACAATCGTTGCTCACAATCGTCGCCTTAATTGATTTCCAAACAAAATTTCCAATATCCATAAGATTTTACCATGGTATACCCAATCAATACTAGTTTGTTATTTCTTATATATTAGGTAGTTTTTAGTTTAAAACATATTTCTTTATTCAAATCTAGAAAGCTGGCGCTGTTGCCATGGCGCTGTGGTGGTTGTTGCTGTTGCCATGGTGCTGTGGCCATGGCGCTGCTGCCAGTTGTAGCCATGGCGCTGTTGCCATGGGCGCTGTTGGCCATGGCACTGTGGCGCTTGGCACTGCGACCATGGATAGCTACTAGCGCATTTTGTAGAGACAAGGTTTGAGCTCCGGCTATGAAAGTTTTTTGGAGGGACGATCTTTTTCTCTTTGTGGAGGTAGAAACGTATGAACATTTTGCTCGAATCATCCTGCCAGGAATAAACTGAGAGGCTCTTTTCTTTTCTTTTTCTTTTGTTTACCTGCTGGACGAGAGCAAAACCAAGAGATTTTAATCCCCTAAGAAAGACTTGAGGATTGGCACCGTGGTTTGCAGGATTGACGAAACTTTTTCTAGAATCTGTGTTTGCAAAACTAAACTTTTGCTGCGCCAGAGGATGGCTCTTGATAGCAGAAGTAAAGAGCTGCTTCCTTATTGAGTCTTTAGAACACCATGAGTTTCTTTGAGATAGTCCGGGTAATCTGTTCCCATGAGGGACAGGCAAAACACCGCAACATCCACTGAGGAACTGGGAAGAGGCGTCTGGGAAAATCACTGCATGTAAAGAAGAAAGAAAAAAGAAACTGATCGAATCTAAAAAACTTACACTGGCCATGTTGCACGCCGTGACAATTAGATAATTGGAAACGAGATTGAATGAAAATACTTCGTTCCTGATGCTTTTGGCGAGTCGAGCATCACCTGAAAATGAGAAAAAGAAAAAGAATTAAAGGATTGCAACGAGGACTCTTTACGCACCACAGCCAAAATCTGCGACCACCAAGTTGTAGTCTCTCGAATTTAGCCACTCGATGATCACATCGACAAGAAGCTTTGGCCATCGAGACATTTGTTCTAGGTACCCTGCGTGGCACTAGCTGACAGAGTTAGCTTCATGGAAGAAAAAAAAATGAATCGAGGTCTCTTACCAATTTGAAAGCATCTTTCTCGAAGTATTCTTTATCCACTACATTGCAAAAACCAAGAACAAAAAAGACTTTCAAACTAAGAAAATATCAAGAATTCAAACCCGCGAGTGTAGAGAACTTCATTGAGCATACGAAATTGGCCGCCGGAAAGCCTTTGTCGCATCTAGACCATCAGGAAGAGACGAAAGTTAGAAAAAGCGAGTGAAAAACTGGATCGATACCCTGTCTAGGAGACTCGAAGATTTCTTCCGTGATTCTTTCCTCACGGAAAGCTGGCGCTCCTCCACGCGATGGAAAATCCCCGGTCCTTGATGCGCAGTGCCGGCATTCTCCTTTGTTTTCTTCCTGGAATCGTCATTCTCTCGCTTGCGCTATGGCGCTGCTGCTGTGGCTTCCATGGCGCTGTGGCCATGGCGCTGCTGCCATGGGGTTGTGGCGCTGCTTCCATGGTGCTGCGGCCATGGCGCTGCTGCGATGTCGTTTGCTCGTTAAACTTATAATAGCTCATCCGCAGAAAAAAAAAGAAAAAGGAAAATAGTTTCAATTGAAGAACCAGGATTTTTGCAAGAAATTTGAATCCTGAGAAGCAGATCGACCTCATTACTCTCAAAATGTGAGGAAAAGAAAAGAGAAAGGATTTGATGTGTGGAGCTTCGTTTCCCGCGCAAATTAAAAACTCGCATATTCCATCGTTAAACAATTAGGGTTTCATCGGCGCGCCACATCTGGGACTGGGAGCTCCGGCGCCAGTCCAGTTGCCGGGGGGCCGGAAATCGATTCCCAGCGACCCCAATTTGGTAAGAAATGTCGTGATCTAAGTCGCGATACAAGGGGCTCCAGGGTTTTTAGGGTTCTTAGAACGGATCTCCTTTGAGCTCGTCTCCATGGCGGAGCTCTCTCGGCAGCTCAACAAATTCAAGCAGCAGCAGCAGGCTCTCACCGATGTGGCGGTGGCGGCGGCCAAGCGCTCGGGCGGCGGCAGCAAAAAGAAGCCTCCGGTGGCTCCGGCGGCTCCGGCGGCGCCACCAGGAGGAGGAGGAGGAGGCGGAGCGGCGCCATCGCCAGCGCCACCCTCCATCTCCAATCTCACATTCCAGAACGACAAGGAGAAGCTCCAGATGATCAACCAGGTGCGTCGCTCCCCGACCATGGCCCAGGTGAAGCGCGTCCTGGACGTCCTCCTGGAGACCCGCGAGGCGCTCCTCCCGGACGAGATCAACAACCGCTGCTTCGTGGACGTGGCCAACAACAAGGAGGTGTTCGAGACGCTCAAGAACAACGTCAAGGTCTCGTTCGATGGCCAGCGCTTCTCGTACAAGGCCAAGCACGGCCTCAAGAACAAGGCGGAGCTGCTCGTCCAGCTGCGAAAGTGTACCGAGGGGATGGCGCTCTCGGAGCTCCGGGACGCGTACCCGGGGATCGTGAGCGACGTCCAGGAGCTCAAGGCGAGCGGCGAGATCCGGGTCATGTGTAACTCGGACTCGCAGGAGGAGATACTCTACCCGGACGACCCCCGGATGAAGATCAAGGTGGACGAGGATATCGCCAAGCTGTGCCGGAGCATCGAGCTCCCCACGGACTTTGTGCTGGTGGAGCGCGAGCTGCAGAAGAACGGGGTGAGGCCCATGACGAACTCGGTGCTGCGGAGGGAGAGGATGAGTCTGCTCAGCGCGCAGCAAGGTGGCAGCAAGCAAAAGAAAAAGAAGAAGATCTCCAAGCGGACCAAGTATACCAACATCCACTTGCCGGAGCTGTTCAAGAGCGTGCCATCTGATGTTGGATCGTGAGAGAAAGAGAGAGATACAGCCGGAGATAATGGAAATCGTCAAGAACTCGAGTGTGATCAATGGTAGAAGTGATTGAAAACTTTGCAAGCTCGCTTAACGATGATACATTAGAAGTGCAGAATTTAATATTAATAAAATTTTATGAAAGTTTAAACCAAAATAACATAGAATATATTTGAATATTTTAGGATTGTTCATTAAAGAAATAAACACTATAATAATTTATAATAAGATTTGATAATTTATTCATTCCTGATATGTCTAAAAAGTTTTTGAAAGAAAATGTCAAGAAATTATACAATTACCAAAATGATTTACTTTCTGATAAGCTTGTGAATTTAAACTTCCCAAAATATCACCTATCCCAATATTATTTAAACTCAAAGACATTTAGCCACACTCTTATTTATAGTCCCTTTCACTTTATATTTGAACTTTAATATATCATTTTTCAAGTTGTTTTCTTTAGTTGTTTATAATGCACCATTTTTGGAAACTATTGTAATTTGTGAAACAGAAGTCTTAATGAAGGTTATTTATTTAGCAATTTTCATATTCTTAGTATTAATATTATCTATTTATAAGTCCTTTCAAATATTCTTTTCTTACTGTTAACAAGAGGTTATCAATCTCCACCTAATTTAGTTGAGAAATTGATTATCATGTATGCACTTAGACTAGATAAACATAAGATAGTGTTATTATCATAAATATCATGTATCTCTCTATATTTATTGAGGAGTATATTAATTACTACTAACCACAATAATAAAACTTTTGCTTGTAGGATTTGAATTGAAGACTTACTATCCTATACTTAGATTAAGTTTCTAGATTAGTTAGGGGTTGGATGAGATAAATTTTTAAAGCCCTTACAAAAATAGGGTTTTAAAGATTTTATACTTAGTAAGCTATTGAATTTAAACTTTTCATGAGGTCACCTACCTTAGTATTATTTAAACTCAAGTACATTTAACCCAAATAAAAGAGGCTCTTGAATTTAGATTTCTATTCATAGGCCCTTTCCCTTTATATTTAAACTTTAGTGGATTGTCTCTTGATTTTTTTTAATTTTTTTTTCTTATAATCCACTATACTTTTTTATCTTTGTGAATGAAAATTAAAAGCCATAGCTCTCCTAAAAGCCCCACTTTCTTAACATTTTACCCTTGGATCTAGCCTAGTTAAACCAAATTGTATTAGTTCAATACTATTTAAATTTAATTTCAAATATCATAAAACCTTTAACAAATTAGAAAAAGGGATACATTGTTTTTTATGTGTTAATGGACTGTCTTTCGAATCATTCTCTTTGGTTGTTTACATTTTTTTCTTTAAGATTTCAATCCATTTATTGTTCTCTTTGGTTATTTATATTTTGTTTTTCAAGATTTCAAAATTTTATTGTTGTATTTGGTTATTTACATTTTTTTTTCAAAATTTCAATCCATTTATTTAGCAATTTATTAAAAAATCCTCATTAAGAGTGCACTACCATCAATAAATTGCAATTGCACTAAGGCTCTAAGCTTGTATCCATCTCTATTAGAGATTTAAATGGTCACCATTAATATTTTATCTAAGTGTGTATTCATCTATGTATTGGAGATTTTAAATGGCCACCATTAAAATAATACAATCCTTCAGCAACATTTTCACTTTGGCCTTTGTGATGATGTTAAAGATTTTTGTAAGCTCCTGAATTTAAACTTCCTGGGAGGTTATCTAGCCTAATACTATTAAAACCCAATGACACTTAACATTAAATATCCCATGATTTTTTAACCAATTGGAAAAAGGGACATTTTTATTCATGAACTTTTTCCCTTTATATTTGAACCTTATAGATCATTTCTCAAATTGTTTTCTTTGGTTATTTACAATTCATCATGCTTCTCAGCAAATTCACACCCTCGTGAGCAAAAGCTGAGAGCCGTAGCCAATTAACACCTTACCTCTTGAGTCAAGCCTAACTAGAGGCAAACACCTAGTGTAAAGGACTAAACATCATAGAGGTTCTTAACACTTATAAATACAAGTCAATATATGAATTTCTCATTACAAGCTAAGTATATTGTAATAGATCTTGAAATCATAATCAAAATAATAAAGAGTTTAAACCGAGTTGGGACCAAATATATTCTGGGCTGGATATGTTTGAGGCCCAATATATCTAAGGGTCTAAACACTAGTGAAAAGCCAAAAAGCATCTTCTGAGGTGGGATAAGCTGGCTTGGGCTATATAAGGTTCCAAAAGTATATTAAGTATAATGTGGCTAGAATTTAGTTATAAAAAAACTCTCAAGTGGTGCTCTTAAACCATATTGGGTTGGGGTTAAGTGTTAGTAAGCCTTAGATGAGAGTAAACATGGACTTAAGGTGTGTTAGAAAGACCTCTTAAGGAAGTGCTTAAGAGTAGCTCTTATATAAAACTCAAAAAAAAAATTTAACTTAGTGAATTACAAGTCAGTAGTGATTTAGAAAGGTTATCCATAAATAAATAATGGAGTTAAGATAAGGAAGAGAAGATGACTCGTTTAATCAAACATCCTCTAATTAGACTAAATGTTCTTATTTTCCAAAACCACAAGTGTTGCTTCCACTATATGAACTTAAGGGCAAGCATAAAAATAAAGACATTATTCCTAGAAATGATTTGCATTACCACAATATATGCAAAAGTCAGATTTTAAAAAATTAATAAGATTACTTTTTCTATAAATAAATCTTATCTTATTTTATGCTCTAGCCAAACTCCCTATTATGGCATATAGTAAATAAAAGGTAGTAAAGAGGTATTTCAACATACTAGTGGCCACTGAGAATAAAAAGCAACATAGCTAAAAGGGAGCTAAACAATGTTTTTGATTGTCAAGCCATGCCCTCAACCCCATTATCTCCGAACTTATGAAGCTTGTTTTGGGCTTCACTTCAATTATATATACCTTTAGACTCAAGTTGTCTTTGCCAGCTCAAACCTGTAGTTGCCTTTGTCTCTCTCCTCTTGCCATCCAATATGCGTGTCCATCTCCTCTCCTCTCAGAAAGTGCCACACATTATGTAATCTAGCACCATCCAACAAAAATGTCATGTTAGAAAATTGAATTGATGGGAAGCCATGTGGTAAAGCCATATGACCCCTTGTTATTGGTGTCATCACATCTGGATTAGAGTTAAACAAAAAAAGACAGTTCAGAAGATAAACTTAGATTGCTTTAAGCAGGTTGGGCTATGAGAGGGATGTAGCTAGGAGGTGCAGTGCTGTACCAGCTTGAGCACACTCCTCTTTGTTTTCTTTTTTTTTCCCCCATGTTTTTCATGATTGCCCTAAAGAATTGTAGAAGCTTATTTTAGAATATTCACCATAATTCTCTTTATTATATTGTGTGGTGTTATATTATTTATAATGTTGAGATGGTGCCCAGTGTAGTTCACTAGGAAGATATCCTCTACTCTCCCACAGTACAACCACTACAGTGGGTGCATATGGTAAAAGTGCATTAGTGTATAGTTTTTTTAGGAAAACCTTGAGTTTTACCTCCTTTGAAGTGGTTTTTTACATCATATTTTGCTCCAGGAAACTGGTCCTTGCTAAGTGCTTTAAGTATGCAATATTGAAGTTGATGCTACTGAAACCCATTCTTGGTAAAAGCCTTTATAATTTGCTTAATTGTTGATAAAGTATATGGAATGAGGGCAACTTGTGAACATAAAACATTATAGGAGGTGGAAATAGGCTAATTCAATGCCAAGTGAAGGTACCATCAAAGGGAGGGGGGGATGATATTATATATTTGCCATCTCTTTGTAATTATTAAGGAGTATATTAATTACTACTAATCGTTACAAGAACTGAACCCTAAACCTCTACTCATATAGAATTTGAACTCAAAACTTGCTGTACACATGGATGGGCAGTATGAACTTATATTTAGATTAGGTTTGTGGATTAGTTGAGATTAATTTCTAAAGCCCCTATAAAAATAGGGTTTTAAGAAATTTGTACTTAGAGTGTTTAATACAGATTTATCTTTTCTTCTCCATTGTTCAATATTTTAATAGTTTATTGTCTCCTCTTCTCTTAACAATGAGCTCTTGGCATTGACCACTTTATCACATACCTCCAAACCTCATACTATAGTTTTGTTTTTCAGACCTTGGGCGGCACATTTTTGGTGGTTTCTAAACTAGTCTTTTGAATTTTTAACTTGCTCAATTTGTCACTCACTACATGAATATTTTGATTTTCAAGTCTCTTATAAGTGGGAGTGTTCAAAATATTATATTTTTATGGTTTGGATTAAATCTTGTGATGTGATCAATAGCTAGTATTGATTCCATAGTATTGATAAAATTTGAATGTTTATAGCCTTAAGCCTTTTTTTATATTATAAAATTTTATCTATAATTATTATTTTATTATTTTAGGTAGTTTATTTTACTAAAAATCAGAAATAGAAAGAATAGAAAATCATAATTATAATTTCTAGATTATGACTAGATTTTTTTTTTTTTTTTTTTATCTTTTGCCAAAGTTGGCTTATTTTTTGACTCCACCACCACCCCAATATTCCAATCCCAGAACAATTTTTCAGCTGGCTTCTAATGCATTGTCACCACAGCAATTCCAAGATGTCATTCGACTCATGTCCAATTTCATTACAACTCACTATGCTGATACTACTAGAGATAATCCTTATAACCTCTTTCCAGTCGGAAGCACATCAGTGGAGTTTCATATTGGTGAAATGACTTTAAGGATCACTTTTTATATCAATGCCCCTGTTGTGGTGGCTATGTTTTGTGTTGCAGATCCCTTTGTAGCAATCAATTTTCCCTCCCATTTGGTGCGAGCCACATTCAGAGCTATTAGAAATCAAATATTTTTAGATGCCTCAACTTATATTGAAGGAAGGCGAAGGTTTTGTGCTGAAATACGCACAGAATTTTCAAATTTTGCCATACACTATCGAGTAGACTTTGGTGTTCACCAAACACAA